TTTCGGTAACATGCCCTATTTTAGTAAACATTTATTGGAGGATGAGAGGCTAAGGGGGAAAGGACTCACCCCTTTACCCCTCAGGTGCGCCCAGGAACCTGGGGCAGCGGAGTTAGAGTCCAGGCAAGGGCGCCCTGTCCTTAGAGCCAAGCCTGCTGCTCTCCTGACTTGCACTGGCGAGCGGGCCCACCAGTAGTGCAGGGCCAGGTAGATATCCCAGTATTTTGGTAAATAATGTAGCAGATATCCTAAAGGTTCCCGGAGGCTCTGTTAAATCCTGGAACAAATTTTTCACTTTTAATCCTAAATATATCAGCAAATTCAAACAGTGGTATATGGATTTCTCTGTCATCTGAAAAATGCCAATGCAATAAATTGAACGCTATCGCCAAGCCAAATGCAGCTCCGACTCCAACTCGAAAGGGTCCCTTCCCTTGACACCCGCCTGTGTTTGCGCGGCTGCTGACCGGGGAGCCCAGGGCTCACGAGCCGTAAGATCTAGTGACGCCTTCATTGATCGCATGGGGGCTGCGGGCCCTCCGGCTCTAGATCTCAGTCAGGGTGAGCTTGTACGATCCCCCCACTTCTTCGATCTGCAGCTGGAAGGTGTCTTCATTGGAGTAGTGCTTCACGATGTTGTCATCCATGTTCACCAGGATCCTGGAAGGCAGACAGACAAGACAAATGACTTCGTTCCTGCCCCTCTGCAGCCAGACTCAGATTCAACTGTTAGCTCTGCCGCTTACCAGCTGGGACATATGAGGCAAATTATTTAAACCTCCCTAAGCCTCTATTTCCTCATCTACAAAATGGGGACAATAATAGTGCCCATCGTATAAGATCGTTGAGAAAATTAAATAAGGAGGGAACCAAGTAAGCACTTATATCACAGCACATGGTAAACAAAAACCACTAGCTTATGTATTATTACAACTGGCACATAATAGTCCCTTATAAACAGTACTTATTATAACATAACAAAATAAATCTACACAAGGAATGTTTCATTGGTCCAGCTTTGGAAAGCAACTGAATAAAATTAATTACATGATCTGAAGCCACATTTCCCTGACAAAGTATTTTCTCTGGTAAGTTATCCCCAAAGTTTAAATGAACTACTATTAAGTTCAACTCTTTCCATTAGACCTATCTAGAAAATTTCAATTAGAATTTGGTTTAGAATTAAGCCAAAAAATTTTTATGCTATCCCCTGTTTATCCATGCCAAACAGCATAGACAAGTAAAATTTTTGGACAAAGAAGCAACATTATATAACTTGAAACTGTGACCCAGGGCAGGATGGTAGAGCAGAAAGCACAAAGGCTTTAGGGGCTGTCAAAGCTGAACCTGAATCCTGGCTCCATGGTAACAGGCTACACGACCTCAGACGAGCCTCTCCATCTCCCTGAGCCTCAGCTGCCTCATCTGCAAACCACGCACAGTAAGCCACTCTTGGACAGATGTGAAAACTAAACGAAGCAACTTGGGAAGTGCCCGGCCCGGTGCCTGGCTCACGCCGGGGCTCACTGTGCGGGGGCGTGAGTACCATTGTCCCCAGTGAGCTTCATCCCCGAGTATGGAGCCACTCACGGCTGCCATGTATGGGACAGCAAATAAAAACTTTACTTGGGACAATAATCCAAAAGATCTATTCGAAGGCAGAACAATTTTATCTAAATAATTTAGTAAGAAAAACCGTATTCTAGCATTCCTGTTTCTATGGCTGCTTCTGGACCGGGCACAATGTACGTGTGCGGCTGGCGTTGGGGGGGTGCCACACGGGCACCGGGGGGTATCAGTGCTTCGAAGTCATGCGGGACATAGTTGCTGCTCACCCCTTTTTACATTTCTTGAATATTTTCCCAATCTTGTCATGGGGAACATCGTATTTGTCTGAGATCTGAAAGAACAAAGAAAAATAATTGAAAATGTTGCTTTCATGGCTTTACAAAGCAAACAAAAACAATCATTTTACATATATTTAATACACGTAAAATTATTATGTATATACATAATTATATACAGGGAGTGTCACTTTCTGTTTTTCAAAAACGCACACACAAAGACACGGGAAAGACCCGCGCGTGTCCCGCGGGGGCGCTGGGCCTCTCCTCGTCCCGGCGGCCCCGTTGGGTGAGGGGCTGCGAGAGGGCCACGATGCAGTGGCCTCACTCCTGTGCAAACTCTGGATGTCTTCCTTTCTGGGCACAGAGGCTATTTTTAAAGAGAATGGGCGAATGACTCCAAGGACAAACAGTCTAGATCGAATACTTTATTGGGAATTGTTGTCCAGCCACTCTCGAATCAGGGTCACTGCCTCACCTCAATCTGTGCAGCACAGTTCAAGGCAGCGCTGAGAACTGGGCCTCAGATCCCTGCCGATCTCTGAAAAATGTGCATTTCAGATCGACTCGCAGCTCTGTGCTCTAACCAAGCAAGCCCTTTTCCTTTTCGGTATCACTGGATGATAAGACTTTGCATATAATGAAGTCCCAGCCCCACGGCATGTGACAGTCTCGTGAATTCCTTGTGAGCTGTGGCCAAGTCACAGCAGTGATTCTCCATCTTCTTCACACTCTCCTCTCTCCCCATAATCAAGAGCTTCACAACTTTTAAGAAATGACAAAGGGTCGCCAAGAGACAAGATAAAGAGAAACTGCAGAAGTGAGGGTGGGGGCGGTGGTGGTGTCTGTGGTGTGAGCAGGGACACGCTGAGTGACGCCGGTGGGCTCCAGGTGTCCCTGAGAGACGCGCAGCAGCTCCCAAACCCACATCCCTCACCCCGCTTTGTTCTTCACTGCACATGTCAGTACTTGAAAAATGACATCTTAATTTTTGTGCTTACTTTATTGTCTCTGTCTTCCCAACGGGGAAGCGAACTCCGCCTGGCACCGCGTCCCTTACTCTTGTGAGTCCAGAGCCTACAGAAGTGCCTGGCACACAGCAAGCCCTGAATCAAGCTTTGTTAAATGAATCCAACACACCACGGTTGTCAGGGGCCAGGGAGACATATTTCCAGCCCAGTTATGCATACATTTTGAGCTCAAAGATTTTTTTTTTTTTTGAGTCAGAGTCTTGCTCCGTTGCCCAGGCTAGAGTGCCGTGGCGTCATCATAGCTCACAGCAACCTCAAACTCCTGGGCTCACGTGATCCTCTTGCCTCAGCCTCCCGAGTAGCTGGGACTACAGGCACAGCCTACCATGCCCGGCTAATTTTTCTATTTTTAGTAGAGATGGGGTGTTGCTCTTGTTCAGGCTGTCGGAGTCCCTCTTAGCTGCGACATACAATCTGTTCTTACTGAGAGCTGAACCATCGAGGTGTGAGCAGTAGAGCCAACCTCCCTTTCTAGATCTGTCTTCCTGTGCAACATTCTGTCTCAGCCAGCCTGCCCCTTGCGTTTCCTGCTCACGCCTCTCACTATTTGAAATGTCCTCTCCTTTAGTACCACACATGCAAGGTTGTCTCAGAGCCTACTTCCTCCATAACATTTTTCCTGAAAAGAAGCGCTCCATCCTCGAGCAGGCAGTGTCCTAGTATGGGAGTGTGGCAGGCTCCTGAGCTCAAGCAATCCTCCCACCTTAGCCTCCCAGGATTACAGGCATGGGCCACCACATCTGCCTGGAGGCTCAAAGATCTCTATGGTCTCCAGGGGACTGAGGTCGGTAAGTATCAGGCTATGGTGCCAATTACTTGAATTCTACCCTAGGGCAAAGCCAAGATGGGGAGCCACACGGTGTCCTTCCACGTCACCTCTCTCACTGGTATCCTAAAAGGGAATATGGGATCATTCACTCCAGCCCCATGCTGATATCCTATAGGAAGGATTTATGGCCATCGCTGGTTATACCCCTGAATTTTCTCAAAGATGCTTTGGGTAAGGTCTTGACACAAGTTCAGTAATTCCCTAGGATCAGGAGTTTCAAAGGCAAAGCGAGGAGCCACTGTTTTTATGTATGAAGTTTTCAAGATTTTATTTAATTAAAAATAACTTTTGTTAAGTTCTAAATGGTTTGCTAAATGGCACTCTCCCTTTAATCAAGTACATAAAAATTAAACTAGTTCAGAGGCCATCACGAATCCATTCAAGTCAGTGGAACAGACACGACTGAGTGACTGCGGTGGGGTAAGACCCCCGAGTGAATGTCACCGATTCCAGCAAAGACCCGAAGGAATCTGGATCTGCTGGAATTTGTTCCAGTGGAATCCTGTGCAAGTTTGCTTTCATTTTTTAAAGGGGGTTACAGAGTTGATTCTACTTACGGCTTCCATCAAGCCCTTCAAAGACGGGGTCTTGAGCATGAGGGCATCAAAGACTTCTTCTGACTCCTTTCGAACATAGAGCAGCACTAATCGATCCCCAGCCAGGAAGGAAGAAGAGAAAAAATAACAATAGGATGTAGTTAATTCACACGACCAAAATAGGAAAACAGATCTTAGGTACTGGTTAAAATAAAAAACATTCACATCAAGGATGACAAGCGTGAGCCAATATAAAATTTGCCCTAAGGAATACATGTTCCAGCTTCCCAGTTCAAGCTAGACGTTGGTCTGATGGAAGAAATTTCAAAAAAGTGAAACTGGACAAGATGCGTTTTAGCCATTTACACTTTTGACAGACTCAGAACCCGCTAAGAAATGGAAACCAACACACCTCTCTTTGGTTCTTCTATCCGGGTCAGCTTAGCAGGAGGCGGGACAGCAAAGTCATCTTCCGTGCCATATGGCCCCCTTTTCAAGGCGGAGCTGCAGGCAGTCCAAAACACACCACGAGGGACATTGTAGGGCATGTCACTGGATTTTAGGTTTGAAATGACTTTCATTCTTTATCTAGTCAAGCTTCCTGATTTGTGGATGAAAAATCTGAGGCCCGAAGAAGACACTGACTGCACAAGGGCTCCTGGACATTAAAGGCAGACCTGGGGCCACACACAGGTTACCTACCGCCTGACGCCTGCCACACTCCCATACTAGGACACTGCCGGCTCAAGGACGGAGCGCTTCTTTTCAGGAAAAATGTTATGGAGGAAGTAGGCTCTGAGACAACCTCGCATGCGTGGTACTAAAGGAGAGGACATTTCAAACAGTGAGAGGCGTGAGCAGGAAACGCAAGGGGCAGGCTGGCTGAGACAGAATGTCGCACAGGAAGACAGATCTAGAAAGGGAGGTTGGCTCTACTGCTGACACCTCGATGGTTCAGCTCACAGGAAGAACAGATTGTATGTCGCAGCTAAGAGGGACTCTGACAGTTTGGTGAGACAGAATGCTGTGCCCAGAGCGTGTGGCCAAGACTGGAGGGACTCCAGAACCTACGAGCAGAATAACCAATTGGGGGACTCTGGTGACAATGAGAGCGTAAGATTCTAAAGGTTCAAAATACAGAAGCATCAGTGGAAACAAAAGGGGAGAGTGTGCAGAACTCAGCTCTGAGCACGGCTGTCGCGCACCTGCTGCGGAGGGTCACAGGAGCAAGAGGGGAGTCAATCGTGGAAGATGAAGGAGGGATGCCGGGTCCCTAGCAGAACGATCCCTTCAGGGACGGGGGCTCATGGTGCTCTGTCCGCCCCAGTTCCTAGCACGTGACAGGCGCCAGCAAAAGTGCCTGTAGGATTCACGTCTGAAACACTAAGAACTAACAAAGCGGTAGGGCCTGGCCCTCAGAGAGAAGGTATAGTCGGTAACACGCGTGGGGTGAGTGTCCCCGAAATGACAGTTCAAGTCTTAGGAATGGATCATGATGAGGGAAGAGGGGAATGAGGGACGAACACTCCCCAAACCTTGGGGAGTGTTTCCGTCATGGTGCTTTCCTGAGGATAGATCAGTGTCCAGAGAAAAGGGAGATTTAAAAACCAAAGAAAATCTTCCCTTCTTGAAAGACTTAGTCCTGGTGCCACCAGGAAGGACACACAAGGTGGGGTCTGAGCAAGCTGGCATGGGGAGCCTGGCAGAGCGTTTCAGCGGGTGCCACCCGGCAGGGAAGGCAGAGCCCACAGGGCGAGCAGGCTGCCCATACTCCCGGATCTAAATGCCATTCTCCAACAAAGGGAGCTGGGTTCCCTGGGAAGAGATCAATCCTAGGGCTGGAAAAGGGAAAATACAAGTGTGGAGCGTAAGGAAGTGCTCCAGGCATGAGGGGGCCAGGAGCCAGCCTGAAGGGCTCCACTGACCAATTCTGGGACAATCCGAGCATCAAAGTACATGACAGTGATGCATTACAACCTGCTGAATAAACCAGGAAACTCTGAGCCCATACTGATATAAATAAATAAATGAATCCACTGAAAGCCTGAAGGGGAATGAGATAGCTACAAAGCTACGCTGCCCCTCCCGACAACGCTTATCATACAAGGACAGAGGACAACTTCCCAGTGGAGAAGCCGGCAGACACCATCTCAAACAAGTGACCAAAGTGGACACCATTCATAAGGGACAGACTGAAATCGGGCCCCGTCTGACGGGCTGCACTGAGAACAACACTGCCCCTACGACACCTGCCAGGAGCAGCACCTCCATGTAATCAGGAGAAAATGACAGACCCAAACTGAGGGACAGTCCACACAACGCCTGGTCTGCCATCTTCAGAAGTGATGGTGGGAAAAGTCAAGGAGAGGCTGAGACTGCAGACGATGACAGAGACATGACAACTAACCACAACGCGGGATTCTGAGCTGGATCCTCTTTTGCTGTACAGGACATTATCGGAACAACCGGCTAAACTTGAAGAGGTCCGAGGCCCACACGGTACGGATGCATCGATGCCAAGACCCTGATTTGACTGTGTCGCAGGAGGACGTCCCTGTTAGCAGGAGACACCCAAGTACGCAGGAGCGACGGCTCACCGGGCCGGCCACTCAGTGGCTCGGGAAGAAACCAGTTCTCTGTTCTGTACCTGCAGTTTTTCTATAAGTTTGAGATTGTTTCAAAGTCAAATAAATTTACTGAAACAAAAAAAAACATAAATCTTACCCTTCACCCTCCAATTCCTCTGAGGCAATGGGAAGGACCTAAGACCAAAGAAATAGATGCTTTTCAAATATATGCTCAAAATGTTTGACCGTAAGTGAGTTAGTCCTAAAACAGAAATAATTTTGAATTTGACCAATCTGATACAAAATCCTTAAGCCTTATTTTTCAGTAACCAGATTCTTACAGACATCCTGAACTCCTCTAACTCTGGGGTTGGGCCAAATCGGGCCCAAAGCCTGCTTGTATAAATAGTCTTTACTGAAACGAAGCTGCGCTCATTCGCGTACATACTGTTTGCAGCTGCTTTGGCTCTAGAACGGCAGAGCTGAGCAGCGTCACAGAGACTGTGCAGTCCACAAACAGAACCAGCGTGCCAGCCCCGCTCGCCCTGGGGCTTCCCATTAGAAACTAACATACTGGCAGTGGCTCCCCGGGAACTCTGAACAATCATTAGTCCTTACAAATCTGTCTGCAAAGTGCACGGAAGACTGTCTTTTTCACGTTTATTTGAGCTCAGCATAAAAAGCGTGCTCCACTCTACCAAAGTTCCTATCTCTGGTAAGCTTTTGCCGCAAATGGGGTGTGACTATTTTTTAAATTTAGCTTTAGTTGCCAAGACACGGCTGTAGACCCACGGCTATATACACATGGTTGTATACACATAGCTGTATACACTCGGCTGTATACACTAGGCTGTATACACACGCCAATGATGGCGGAGTGGAGCCCGGAGAAGAGCCTCCCAGTGTTCTGAGCGCCATCGAGGTTCCCTAACCCAGGCACCCCCCACCTAAACTCTGGAGAGTGTAGATGCAAACTCCAAATTATGTTGCTCTTCTAGAATCTTTTAAATGAGCTCGGACATGAAAGAACGAATACGAGCGAACTAAGCTGACAGGTCTGGCACCGCATCTGCACGTGGACGGTGCTTCCCGAATGTGCTTCACTGCACGGGCGCCACGTTACCCCAGCTGAATATTCCAAAGAGCTGCCTAACTGCTTGAGCCTCACCACGCTGGCTTCGTTACCACGCTGTGCCTGCTCCCCTGCACCCTCCGCCGGGACGCGGGTTACCTACGTGAGTGCCCCGCTGCAGGCCGGCGAAGTGCACGTCGGGAATGAAGAGGACGGGCTGCGTGTCGAGATCAATGAAGGGTTTGAACACCGTGATGTCCATGCGCTTGTGAGAGGGAAGCAGTGGCACTTTAACATCCGAAACTGGAAGAAAAGAGCCAGCCACGGTCAGCAGATTATCCACAGGACCGGGTGCGGGACACAGAGCGTTTGCCTCAGCATGTAAGAAACTTAAACTGCGGCACTCTGCAAGACGCAGCTCGTGTTGTCTGCACTAGGACAAAAATCACAGTTTAATCTTTTTTCCAGAGACAGCGTTGCCCCGGCTGGTCGTCAGCTCCAGCCTCAAGTGATCCTCTCACCTCAGCCTCCCGAGTGGCTGGGATCACAGATGCGAGCCACCGCGCCCGGACTAAAAATCACGGTTTACGTGAAGGAGTCTGTTATGTGTATTTCTGCTAAAATCAACTGAAGGTTGTATCAGAAATCAAAAAAGAAAAGGTATCTTTAAACACACACAGACACACAGAAGATTTGTGACAGAGACAAACGGTATTTAGTTTTCATTGGAAAGGCTAAAATTTATAATTGTATGAACAAAGCTTCGAAGTAATTTCACCTCAGCCGTCCTCATTAAATAATTTACATTTTAACAGTAACGCACCTTTTGACTTCAGAACGTATCAAAAACTCGACCCTGAGGTTAAGTGTAAGCAGGCCTGTCTAATTTTTAATTTATTAAATTACAGACTCCATCTGCCCCCACCGTCTGGCCCCGAAGTACTCAGTAACGAGGTTTCCTCCTTAGCCAGCCGCTCTCTGCGCGACAGTAACACCGGGAGCTGGCACTGAGGCCGGGAGAGCCCCACCCGGCGCCGCGGGCAGACTGCTCACGCCAGAAGCCCACGTGCCGCAGGTGAACCCCTACGGGCACAGAGCAGTACTTTTTTTCTTTTAGATACAGGATTTTGAGAATATGAATACTGGTCACTTTAAAGGAAAAAAAGCTTTCCTGGTAAAATGTCCAAACAGAGGCCCTACAGATTCTGCAAAGGTTAGGACATTGCATTGTACGTAAGAAAATGATACGCATTTGGAATTGAGACATCCTGAATTCTAAAGGCCATTATTATTATTTTTAAAAGTCTAGACAAGTCTCAATTTTAACAGGTTTGAACGTTTCACGTGGAACGTGTGCTATTTTTCAGGACTGGAACCGGCAGCCTGAACTAGGACCGACAGCCAAAAAAGCTGAGCTCTGGAAACCTCAAAGAGCCTTCCAGTAGCTCCCCAGGAAAGCCACCCGGTTCAGCCATTCGTCTGCTGTGTCTGAGGAAGGCAGCAATGCCACCACTGCAGGGCGGTCAGACGCCCAAGGCCGTATCTCCGGCCACCGTGCGCGCGGAAGGGTCTGAAGCCTGGCGGGAACTGTTCTACTTACAGGCGATCCCCTGGGAGCTGGGGGCAGTGCACTTGCCTTTTCTCTTGCTCTGCTTTCGTTCTTCGTCCCGGATTTTCCGCTCGGCTCCCTGTAGGTCAAGAGAAGGCACGATATGCTTCTGTTTGACTGATCCTCTTTAGAATATTTAACTCTTACCCTGACCGATGCGGGAAAATCTCTCTTCTCTGGAAATGTACCTCCGTCATTTAGTATTAATATATTCATGGGGCTTATCAGAGCAGTTTCCTCTAAAAAGCCTATTCTTAAAAGTTAATTTAACTATATGAAATCACAGGGAAAAACATTTATTTGAAAACAAAGCAAAATTCCTTTCGTTAATGGATATAGCCAGGTTAAATTAAAAGCTGAGAAAACCTGCTAATGTTACTACACTGCCTGCAGACACGAGGGCCTTTCCCCTTGTCTAGTAGGAAAAGAAAATGACAGAAAAAACACAAGTTGACCCTGCTTCTGAGTGTACTCTCCTCTACGGGCAATGCTACTGAAGGCCGTGGTTCTGCACCCACTAAGGGACAGATATGACCAAGAAGAATTCACATCAGGGAAGGTGTCACTGGAAATCTGCATAATCACTTAAAAGAGAAAAAGTAAAAAGTGTACCTTGGAGTCCTATCAACAGGACACCCCTATACTATATAAACCAGTTGTGCAAAGAGTGACAGTGTCGTTCAACTGAACCCACAACAATTTAAGAAAGAACCATATTAGTAATAAACATAACCTAAAAATCAAGCAATGAGGTAAACTAAAAAACATAACATTTAATCATTTTGCTTAACTTATTGGCATTAATTTCTGGATGGCACAGATTTCTTTACAAAGTTATCCAGTTAAGTATGAACTGGGAGCTTATTTTTCTTTTTAAATAGATTTGCTGACAGCAAAGAGAGGCAGTAACAATCAGCCACTGATCTTGGCATTATTACATACTAAGGACCACGTTTCAAAAAACAGAACACAAAACCACCTTCTGCCTTTTCTAGAAGGCTGATATACTAATATATCATTGGTAAACATACAATCTACTTATAAAAATTGCTACGTAATACTGACACAAACATTACCTTCCTGACATAGAAAAACAGGTAAATATCCCCAATCTCCTAGCCATTATTATAAGGAGTTGGTCTGTATCTCTCCCAGTCCCCTCTAACAATCTGACAATAACTTCACTTTGATGAGAAACTAAGGTAGTTTTCCAAAGTAGGACATTCCCTCCTTATTTATTTGTTGTATCCATAAAGAATAAGAAACTCTCTTGCTTCAACCTGACATAGGGTAGGATAGATTTATCTTCCACTCTGAAACAACAACAAACACCAGACAAAATGCATGAAACAAGGACTTTGAAGGCCCTGGCCGGCAGGCAACAAAGAACAGCGACCCCTGAGACAGGAGCAAACAAGGCGAGACCATCAGCTACGCCAGCTTACAGCCTCCAGAGTTACCAGGCTGTGGCACGGGAGGCGAAGTCTGGGTAGTCTCTCAGTCCAGGTCCCCTGGGTGGAGGAGACAGAGCTGAAAGTCCAGAGTGATCAAGGCAGCAGGACAAAGTACCAAAGAGGAAAGGGCTCCAAGAGAGTCCCAGAGATCTTCAGAGGCTCCCACCACCGCCCGAGTACTCTGCAGAGTTGTTGATGGGTACACGAGTGGGAGGAAATTACCCAATACTGGGGGGGTGAAGGGGAGGGGATGGGAGTAGGGGGTTGGGATGGGGGGATAAACATCTGAAAAGATTAGAGAAACAGTGCCTGAAACTCACATTGGGCCAAAAACAGTGCCTGTTCGCAGATTGGAAAAGCTTATAATTCACAGGCTATTGGGCAGAACACTCAAGAAAATCTTGCTCAGGAGTGCAGAATAATTAGCCTTACACTGAGCATTGGCTCCAGACCCACCTATCAAATCACAGAAATAAGATATGAAAGGATCAAACAGTTTCTAAGTTGTCCTAGCACTCTGGGAGGCTGAGGCAGGAGGATCGCTCCTGAGTTTGAGACCAACCTGAGCAAGAGTGAGACCCTGTCTCTACTTAAAATAGAAAAATTAGCTGAATGTGGTGGTGCGTGCCTGTAGTTCCAGCTACTCGGGAGGCTGACACAGGAGGATTGCTTGAGCCAGGAGTTGGAGGTTGCAGTGAGTTATCATGATACCATGACCCTCTCTACCTGTGGTGAAAGAGTAGACTCTGTCTCAATGAAAAAAAAAAAAAAAGGAAACTAAACCCCCTCCTCACTCCCCCTTCATAAAAAAAAAAGAAAAAAAAATTTCTAAGTAACTTAACTAGATCTTAGAACAAAGTTCAAGAAGATTCATAGGAATTCAAAAATGTCCAGTATCCAGCAAGGTCCATTATCCAGCAAGCAAAGAAGCAGGAAAACACAGCTGTAACAAGGAAGACAAACTACTGAAAATGACCCCAAATTAACAGAGATGTTAGACAAGGTCATTAAAACGGTTATTACAACTATATTCCATATGTTTGAAAAGCTAGTGAAAAAAACTAAACATGCTAA